AGTTCTGGGTACTAGATGGGCTCCCTCCTGTTGAGCTGTCACTACTCCCATGTCCTTGCAGTAGACAGAGCTAGGAAATGTACGTGTGCGTGTGTACCACATACACACTTGCATGTTTGTTTTTACATCTGTCTGTCCCATGTGTTGAGAAGCCGGAGTTCGTACCAGTACCTCCACCCTCAGTCTGACCCTGCGTGGATCTTTCAGGTTTTTTTCCTTATTCATACCTGTGCCTTTCTTCTCTGACAATAGAAACCTGCTTCCCATTATCTGTAAATATTTATTTGATCAACTCAATTTCCCGCTTTCACGGTCATCACCCCACTCAGGCTCCGACACCCTCACCAGATGCCTCTGCTCCACACCTTCCTCACCCTCTCAAGACGCCATCGCCCCACACCAGGCCACCGTGGCTCTGCACCAGCGCCTTCTTGCCCTGGCTGAATTATGCAGAAAGAGAGGAAGAAAAGGAAAGACAGAGCTCTTGTTAAAAATGTTTCTTTTCCTATGTGTATATGTCTGCGTCTGTATTTACACGCTCTGTACGCATTGCTGCTTCCGTGCTTGCCCCTAGATGGTGAGGCTGTCTCGGGGACGGTGCTCAGCAGGTTTGCCTTGTGTAGTGAGAGCTGGTGGGGGGTGGTAACCCGTCGTCGACACAGGTGAGTCGATGTTTAGATGGGGGAGGTGCGGTGTGTGCCTTTGAAGCCCCAGTAGAGAAGTCAGTGGGGACTGGCTGTCTCTAAAACAGGCCAGTGGCACAGTGGCCGTCCTGCGACCTCGGTGCCCGTGGCACCCTTCACCAGCCTCTGGGCCCCTGGTGGCATTTTTGTTTTCTTCAAAGCAAATTTGTATTTTGAAGCCCTCTTATTCTGGGATTGGGAAACCATAGAAACTTCAGTATCTGTTATCCGAGTTTTTTAGGAGTGTCTTCTTAGAGCCTAGAATGTAAGCAGGTCAGCCACAACCAAACCAGAGAGGTGTCTCCTTGTGCCATAATTTCCAATCTTCCCGTTACCCCCTTGGGACTTTTCTACTTGAGGGTGTCTTCCAGCCACTGGTGGTTTTGGAGTTTGGGGCAGGCTGCTGTTCGCCCTTTTGTGTGTGGCCCTTTCAACAGACTGCTGTTCTTTATGGAAATTCTTTCTTACAGATTTTGGGTTTTTTTTTTTATCTCCCTATTCCTTTCTGCCCTGATCCATGCCTTCCCAGTGCTAATGCTTACCCTAATTTTCACATGGTCAGAGCTCAGCACCTGCTGGTGTTCCCCAAACCAGCTTTTCTTGCACCTTCTCCGTCTCCGTCAGGGGCAGACGCCGTCTGTGTTTGGACAGAAGGCCTCAGTGTTGTCCCTGGCTCCTCAGGTGTGCACCCCCAAATCTGGCTGTCCGCGGATTGTCTCACTGCCGTCTCGTGCCCCCCTTCCTCGCCCTTCCTGCCCCGGCCTGGCCCGACACAGCTGTCCTGGGAGCCGTCCAGTCGGCCTCCTGCGTCTGCCTGTGCCCCCTTCTGTACAGAAGCTGGAGCGAGCCAGTCCTCGTGCAGACCAGCTGGGCTCGCTCCTCTGCTCAGATCCTGCTTTGCCTCCCGTTGGGAGTGAAAGCTGAGGTCCTTTCTCTGACCTACAAGGCCCTCCCCCCACTTCTCCCATCCCTTCTGCTTTCCCCCTCCCTCCCCCTGCTCCAGCCACACTGGCCCCTTGGCTTTCCTGACACAAACCAGGCGTGTTCCTGGCCTCGGGCTTTTGGGCTCACCCTTCCCAGTGCCTCCGGTACTGTGCCCAGCTGGCCTGGCCAGCTTCCTGCTTCCGCAGGTCCTTCCTCAGAGGCCCCCTCCCAGGCTCACGGGGCACCTCTGTGTACACACACACACACACACACACACACACACACGCTCGCTCACACCGTGAGCTCGGAGGTTTGGCTTGGGTTTTGTTGGCTGCTGTGTCCCTGCCGTCTGCTTGGTGCTTGGCTCTGTGACTGGCGCTGTAAAGGAGTCGGACCTGGGAGCAGAGCTGCTCAGCAGCCCCACGGGGCCCCGGTTCATCTTTGCGCACCTCATGCCCGTTGCTTCCCGAGGGCCCCGCGCAGGGGTCGCACCTGTGCCGGGTGCCTGCTTCCCACCGTCTTTCCGCCTCCAGGTCGGCACCCTGCGGCCTCCCTCCTCCTGCGGAGGACTTGCTGATCCTCTGCACGTCCCGTGTTGTTCTGGGCTGTGCTGTAGCTGTGCTCAGGCTGCTCCACTTCTCCCCCCGTATTTCCGCCGGCTCGGGCTCTGCCAGAGCGCCCTCCACCTCCTCCTCGGCAGAAGCCCCCCGTTTCACCCAGAAGAACTCTTGGCGCAGCATCCCGGCCCTGCGTGTGCACCTCTTCTTCCGTGTCTTCCTGCGCTTCGGTTAGCTGTTTGCTTTTCTTGTCGGCCTCTTGGCTGGATCGCACCTTAGTCTTGGTAAGCACGATATAAAATTGTATGATTTAATTGCATAAATTAAGGTAGAACGTCTTAGGGATATTGTGGTGTCCTTTTTTCCAAAACCTAAAACGTTTTCTCTTCGGGAGAGAGAGCTGATTATCGTAGGCATTTTTAAAGATTGAAACCCCTCTCGCGTTTTCTTCGCATTTCTGGGGATCAGTTGTAGAACGCCAGCCATCTCTTCACACGGGCTGTGCTGGGAGGTCGCTGTCCATACCTGTGTGCAGACTAAGAATAGGTTTAATTAAAGTCAGTCTGACGCAGTTAGGTCTAAGATTGGCTCGCATCACTCGATAATATTTGTTGCCCAAATATGTCATAGATTCTTTAGCTTGAGGCAGAAGAGCTTAAGAGATTGCCTTTATTTTTTTTTAAATTTGCCTTAATGGAGAGACCTGTTTAAATCTTTTTCACTGTAAGTTCATTTAATATGAGAACTCTTCTCACCAGTGGTGAGCTTTATCTTCTTTGACCACTCATACTATAATTCAGTGAGGTATATGCTTCATGTGATTATATTCTGTGATACCCCATTACTGCAAATATCAAGTATAAGCAGAAAAAACTGGGGCTCGCTCCCAAGCGTATTGCCATGAAATATGTTGGAGTGGCTTTTTTGGTGTCCCCTGTTGCCTTTCTTTGGTCTTTCTGTTCTGATCTTTGGTTTTAATTTCTTTGTTCTTGTGGTTGGCATTTTCATTGTTGTTCTTTGTGTTGATAGGGAAATAAGTTCTAAAATTTCATTTCCATCTGATGAGCTCCATTCAACCAGCCTTAGTCTCTAGTGCCAGAGAAGGCCTGCTTTTCAGGGTCGTGTGTTACTACAGCAGTGAGGTCCTAAATATTAATCTTTCAAACTTTTTTAGATTTTATGTGTTTTCCTGTGAATAGAGGCACATATGAGTAGTTCCAGAAACCACAAAGTCCTTGTTACTCTAAAGCACCAGTTGCTGCCAGAGGAAAGGGTGTTAATAATTCCGTACCTCTCTTTAAAGGGGGTCAACTCCTGGTCCTAAGTGTTTTCTTTTTAGAAACAAGTTAGCAGTGAAAGGCCTGTCCTGTTTTACTGATCTGTGTTCCCCTTGCTGGATTATTTATGTTTCTGGTGGCATCAGTGCAACCGATTTTTCTGGATGTGCCACAGCCAGCATCGTTGTTTTGTTTGTTTTACTGCCGCTCTGTTGTTCATCGTGAAGAATGATCACTTTTCTGCCATTCACATACTTGAAAGATATCTGTGCCTGTGTGTAATTTAACGCTCAGATAAACACTTCTCTTTGGCAGCAATGTATCTCACAAACTGTTCTCTTGTATTACTTCCAGTAAAGAGGTAATCTGGTTTTATAACCTATTTAGCAGGTTAGATTTCTTTAAGGTGAGGCTTCATGTAAAATAAATTTGATGACTGTGTAAACCCTTCTATGTTCTCTTCATAGAATTGGCAGAAAATATTTCAAAATCTGAAAGGTATAGTTTGCATAATTTTAAAGCATAGTTTCTCTAAAAGAAAGTGGCAAGGATGGGCGCCTGGGTGGCTCAGTTGGTTAAGCGACAGCCTTCAGCTCAGGTCATGATCCTGGAGTCCCGGGATCGAGTCCTGCGTCGGGCTCCCTGCTCAGCGGGGAGTCTGCTTCTCCCTCTGACCCTGTTCCCTCTCGTGCTGTCTGTCTCTCATTCTCTCCCTCTCAAATAAATAAATAAAATCTTAAAAAAAAAAAAAAGTGGCAAGGATATGACTTGCATGGAAATTGGTTTGTCCTTAGGTATTATTTTACGGTAGAAAGTGAGGATGTATGTACCAAGCTTTTGCCTGAAGAGTTGGTAAAATTTATGGGGAATTAAACTACTGTTGCAGGGTGCCTGGGTGGCTCAGTCGGTGAAGCGTCCGACTCTTGGTCTCAGCTCAGGTCTTGATCTCAGGGTCATGAGTTCAAGCCCCGCATTGGGCTCCACACTGGGTGTGGTGCCTACTTAAAAAATGAATCAAATGCTGTTGGGGAAGAGCCCTGGAGATGAAGGGTTGCACATGATGAGAATCGAGAATCTGAGGTCGAAGCAGAGCGGGGGTGGGGCAGATGTGCAGGACTGTGATCCCCCCTCTCTGGCTGCTTGGTGGCTCAGTATTCCTGGTGTTGTTATGCTCAGTTTGCTCCGTTCTTCTCATTTGTTTCAACCTTTCTTATTTCTTCTTATTTCTTATTCTCTCTGCTGGAGAGAAGTGAGGAGTAATTAAAGAAAGAGAAGATCAGGTGTTTTGTGCCTGGGCTGCACGTCTGTCTCATCTTCTCACGGGGCGTCCTTGTGGCTCTCTGGCCTGTGGTGCACGTAGGACTGACTCCCAAAGGACTGACTCCCGAAGGACTGACTCCCGTAGGGCTGACTCCCGAAGGGCTGACTCCCATAGGACTGACTCCTGTAGGACTGACTCCCGTAGGGCTGACTCCCGAAGGGCTGACTCCCGTAGGACTGACTCCCGTCGGACTGACTCCTGTAGGACTGACTCCCACCTGGCTCGCTTTGTTTCGTAGACGGCTCACAGCTCCCAGAGGGATCGCCCACCCTGCCGGACTGTGGTTCTGTGCTGCAGATGGAGTGGAGGACTCAGTTGTCTGGCCCAGAGTGACAGGAGCCCGAGGCCCAAGATGGAGAAGAAACGAAGAAAGAAATGAAAGCCTCTTTCCAGGCCAAACCACAAAAGGCCATGAAATTTAACTTTTATTTACGTTGGACAAGACTGTAAAATGGCTGATCGATAATATTTCAGCTTTTGGCCGAAACAAAAATTAACTTATAATCAAGAAAGAAAAAAAGTGCGATTTGAATTTATGCGATTTTATGACCATATTCACTTAGGACCATGAAGCTTGTCAACATCTGGCTGCTTCTGCTAGTGGTTTTGCTCTGTGGGAAGAAACATCTGGGTGACAGACTGGAGAAGAAGTCTTTCGAAAAGGCCCCGTGCCCTGGCTGTTCCCACCTGACGTTGAAGGTGGAATTCTCCTCAACGGTTGTGGAATATGGTAATGATATTATTTTAGCCCCCCCTTCCCATTTTTTAAAAACTTAACTTTAAATATTAGCTTTTGCCAAAAAAGACATTGCCCTCTTTTCTGTGATACATTTCATATGAGGTGAGCACACAGTGCTTAGATGTTCACTCTGCTAAAGTTGGTTTTCCCAAGATAGGTAGCTTCTGTGAAGCAAGGACGTTGGCATTCTGAATTACTTCCCTAAAACCTGATTCTCTGGGACAGGTACCATTGCAGCCACGGAGGGTGGGGAGTTGGGAGGTGCGGAATGCTCAGTAAAATAAAACTGAGCCTTTCCTTCTGAATCCCTTTTTCCTATTTGAAAAAGTTAATGTGCATTTCTTTGCCATATATTCAAACTTCTGTTAATCTTTGCTTTTTGAAAAATAGCACAGGTATCTGATTTTAAGTGATGTATTCTGTGATCAGGGGGCTCATCCAGATCATTTTAACCTACCGCTCTGGAAACGGCTGTTCAGGGCCTTTAAACAAGTCTTCGTTTACTGCTCCTTCTGTACGGTTTAGGATCTGTAAGTTTTCTTTTACCAGGGAAATTTGAGAGTGGATACACTCTTATGTTACAATACAGGGACATAAATGCTTATTTTTATTTGTGGTCATTGATTTCAGAGTACATCGTGGCTTTCAATGGATACTTTACAGCCAAAGCTAGAAATTCTTTTATTTCGAGTGCCCTGAAGAGCAGTGAAATAGACAATTGGAGAATCATTCCTCGAAACAACCCATCCAGTGACTACCCTAGTGATTTTGAGGTGATTCAGATAAAAGAAAAACAGAAAGCAGGGCTGCTGACACTTGAAGATCATCCCAACATCAAACGGGTGACACCCCAGCGGAAAGTCTTCCGTTCGCTCAAGTACGCAGAGTGTGAGTACTGTGATCTCGGGCTCCGCTTGTCAGTCTCTGCTTCATCTGCTTCGCTGGGGTTCAGAGAGAGAATGTGCGTATTCACACAGGCTGCCAAGAAGGGGTTCAGTCGACACCCAAGTCCCTTCATCTAGTTTCATCAGTTGTGAACGTTTTCTTGTCAGGAGTTTAAAAAACTAACAACAGGCTTCATGCTAGTCTGGTGGGAAAAATCTGCAAGTTTGCTGTATGGGACGATGGTGATGTCTGTCTCTCCTGCAAGTGGTTTTCACCCAGCTTCCTCGGAGAGGTCGGGGTGTTCGAGTCTCCTCTGGTTGCACTGTGCTTCTGTCAGCGTGTGTTTTTAATTTTAAGGCATCTTGTAAAACATCCTTTCTGTGGGTTTCGTTTTGTTTTTCTGAGAGCCTCCTGACCATGCACAGCCCTGCCTCTGCTGGGCCTGTTTTAGTCACAGGCTGTGCAGGTGTGAGGATGGAAAGCATTTGATCATTCTTCCAGCCTGAGGGCTTATTCTTTCCCACTTCTTTACAATTTGGGCTCATCAGGTTAGAGTTTATCCTTAAATAATAAATTGCATATTTATTAACATTTTCCAAAGCATGCTTATTACCAGAGAAAAGGTTTTTTCCCATTTGTGATACACTAGTGTAACAGATTGCCAGTTCTGTTATCATTTACTGTCATTTTTTTTCTCTGGAAGGAAAGAGAAATAAAGTTTTCCTTTTCTCCCTTTGTCAGGTAGTAGGCCTGAGAGCCTCTGAGGTTCGGAAGGGGCACCCAGGGAGGCCGAGCTAATTTGCATACTGTGACAAGCCCACCCTTGGAGGCGCCACCGAGGTCAGGTGTCTGACTTCCTCAGAGCTCTCTGTGTCAGGCCAGATGTTCTGTGATGCTTTTCTCTTTAAAAACAATCCAGGAAGATCAAACCAAACCAAAGCTTGTGCACTTAGCCAGATAAATGGCTTAGCGTTGTGCTTTTTTATTTTGCTTTTTTAACATAAAGAGCCGCAGGACATTTTAAGAAACAGGGAAATGCCTAATTTTAGCACAGCAATCCTGGAATCTCAGGGTTGGGTTCCTTTCTCTCCACTCTCCACCATGGCTGTCGGACGTGTCCTTGACGCCCGCTAAGGACGTGGTGCTCTGCCGACAGGCCCAGTCCGTCTTGTCACCATCTGCTACCTCGTGTGCTGCGCCGCTTTCCTGTAAGCTTCAGCTTTTTCCATCCCAAAAATGGAGATGATGCTACCTACCTCCTAGGGTTCTCACGAAGATGATATAAAATAGTGCAAGTGTAAGAGCTTAGCAGAGTTTTTAGGATGTAAATGGACGTTAAGTATTGCTTGTTTCTCTGGCTGTGTTGTGAGAAGGCTCTGCTCTGTTTTGGCTGGAGCCTGTCCCACCCTGGCTCCCATCCCTGGCTCTGTGCACAGGCTGGAAGACGGAGCCAACCTGTTTGCCTCAAGACAGTGTTTAAAGGTATTGTCCAGATAGCCACGGTGTCCCCCTTGACGGATTCTTCTCTCCAGGCCCTTCAGCTGTCCTCCCATGACACGGGTTCAAGCCCTCTCACCATTTTAACTGCTTTCCTTCCAGTACTCTCTAGTTTTTCTGAATTGCTCTCACAGAGCTGCGTTCATTACTCCGGTGTGGTCTGGTCTGCTTCAGGCCGACGGAGCAGACCCTCGCGCGTTGTCAGTACCACTGTGCCGTCAGCACCTCCAGTATCGTCCCCCGCTGTTGACTTAAAGAACAGAGTCAACGTGGCGAGTTCAGTGCAGAATAATTTCAGTTGGTCCGTGCAAATAATTACTTGGTGGCATTGACATGACTGTTTTTCCAGGTCCCTGTGCTTTATCACGGGGAAGCCTGGCAGGGCGGGAATAGACGGTAGTCGTTTGCTTCAGAGACAGAATTTCAGTGGTAGCAGCGTAGGTGTGTTCTTCCCAAAACGGCTTGGAGATGCAGTTTTTCTTCATGATAGCGTGGTCCTGGAAGGTAAGGACTACTCATGTTTCTTTTGCTTTTTCTTTCCGTGTTTAACAAGGTAAGGTACTTAGAGATAACGGAATCCATGGTTGTCAGTGTGGCTTGGCAGGTGTTGACGCGAGCATGGCCCGCGGCCTCCCTGCAAGGTCAACAGAGGACACGGTTCATCGCCTTCAGACCCCCCCCCCCCCCCCGGCCCCTTTCTAGTTCTTCTGCTATTGGAAAGCACGTTGAGAGTACTGAGCAGTGCACAGTTGGAAGAAGGTCCTGCTGCTGTTGGCCCAGAGACAGGTGTGGCGGGTTGACATGCCTCTTTCTGTCCCAGCACCCAGGGCTGTGACACTTCGCCATCACCCGGTGGCCATGTGCCTCGTTGTTGTTCTGTTGCTGTTGTCGTTGTGTTTCACCCTTTTGGTTCAGTGAGAACAAGTTGCTGGTGAAAACTCAGACATTTCTCCTTTCTTCAGCTTTAGGCACGATTGACTTTCTTTCTTTAAAAGTGGTTATTTTGCCAGTCCTTCTCTGCCTTCCGTCAGTTAGGAAATGCCAAGTAGAGGACTCTTTGGGAATAACGATGATAGCTAAGTGATGTCCTGTGGGTGTAACTGCCTGGAGAAAGGCCTCTGGCAGGGGCGAGAACCCCCCCTACCGTCACCCAGGGTTTCGGGGGTAGTTGGCGCTCTTTCCAGAATGGGTGCTCTCCCTTACGGGTCGGCTTGTCCCCACGCTGCTCCGCTTCTCATCTGTCTCTCCTTGGCTCTAGCGGACCCCGTAGCGCCCTGTAACGACACCCGGTGGAGCCAGAAGTGGCAGTCATCCCGTCCCCTGCGAAGAGCCAGCCTCTCCCTGGGCTCCGGCTTCTGGCACGCTACCGGGAGACATTCGAGTAGACGGTTGCTGAGAGCCATCCCACGCCAGGTCGCCCAAACCCTGCAGGCGGACGTGCTCTGGCAGATGGGTTACACAGGTGCGTGCTGTTCGTCCGGGAGCCACGTGGGGCCTGCTGGCCGGGGCGCGCCCCCTCCATCTCCGGTGCCTAGTGCTTTTGCCACGGGCCTCAGGCACCTGCGCTTCCGCTGCGTGTGGAGCTGGACACATCCGGCCGCTCCCCCCCGCCGCCCCGCCCCGCGTTTGACTTCCACTGTGCTGGGCATCTGTTTCTGTGCCTTTTTAGATTGTTTCATCCTCTGCACCTTTTCTATCTTTCTGTATCATTTCGGAGGTTAGGGGGTAGATGGAGCATTTCTCTCCTCTTGACACGTAGGTGAACACACAGGGAATGAGATCAAGTGCAGAGATGGTTACTTGGAAGAGATAACGTGGAAATGAGTTTTTCCCTTGAGTGTGGAGCTCTGTGCAGAATGGCCGAGTTACAGAGTGTGCACCTGTCGATCATTAGTTTCAGAGCAGGGGATGGTATTCATGACCATATCCTAGGAAATAAAACAACCAATAAGGTACTTTTCCTGACTGATGCATCATGGCAGAACATCACTGTCATAACTACTGTGAAGGTTTGTACCCCACCCCAAACGGAAGCCAGTTTCTCTAGCCCCCCTCCCACCCCTGTCCATCTCAGCTGGTCTCGGGGTCCTCACCCGCATCCCCTAGCCTGGGAGACCCTTACCTCTCCCTTGATTTCCCTAGCCCACGCCCTGCAGAAGGTCCGAGACACTTGAACTCTTCATGCCTGGTGGACTGAGGTTTCATTAAAATGATTATCACCTCGTGGTTTTATCTTTTCAGGGCGAGAACTCTTCACAAAGCAAATTCTCTAAACAGAAAAGCATTTTCTGTCCCCCCACCAAACCAAGTGGTTTTTGAGATTGTGTGCATTATTTAAATGTAAGCAGTATGTTCTGATAGTTACGTCGGTGTAACTGATTATTTAACGTAGTATTGACTTGTAAACGCAGCTCTCACACCAGAAAGACCCCACTTTTGTGACATCTGTTAGCTGTTAAATAATACAAGTGTCTTGGATTTTTCTGCGTGTTTTCTAGAATTTCTTGATCTGGCAGTGTCAGTCTTGACATCAGTGCACATAGCTTTTGGCCCGTATCTGAAACAGGCTCCTTGTTGTAGCAAGGTGTACTGGTTTTCCTTACTGTACCCTTACCCCCGCGTGCTGCTGGCAGCCCCTGTGTGCAGAGGTTATTAATGAGCAGCGTCGGAGGGTAGGCATGGGAATGGTCTCCCCTCTCCTGGGGATGTTCTTTATTGGTGCCCTTCGTTCCACAGCGCCTCTCTACAGAGATGAGGGGAGGGAGACCTGGGGGAAGTCACCAGAAGGGGGTAGATCACTCCCATGTGGAGGACTGAGCGCTGGTGACAGGTGAGGGTTGTCCCAAGAGATTTCCCCTATAGCCTCAGGTCTTACTAAGCAGCACATGATGGCATCCCTCCCAGTGTCCCCGTCTTTTCCTCTTCTTGGCTCAGCCAGGGCCCCTGGGGTTCCTGACCTAACGCGTGCACGTTGGGCAGGCTCTGGGCCTCCGTGACAGGTCTCAAGGAGGAATGTGTTTTATAGACAACATCCAAAAAGGTGATTTCTCCAAACATGATTGTGTTTGCTTGTTTTTTTGGAATAAGGTGCTAACGTAAGGGTTGCTGTTTTTGACACTGGGTTGAGCGAGAAGCATCCCCACTTCAAAAATGTGAAGGAGAGAACCAACTGGACCAATGAGCGGACTCTGGACGACGGTGGGTGGCAATGTTGTGGTGTGACCTGGTCTCTGAACCTTGCTCCTGTCCCCAGTTTTATGGGTTCAGAGTGCAGTTTTCTGGATGCTCATGATGACACAATCATTTAGGGCTGTTACCGAGACGAATTCACATTGTTCATGTGCCTTTGGGCAGAAGCTTGTCTGTCTCAGGATGTCAGGAAGTAGCATTTGAGGAGAGCGGGCTGCCTGGTGGAGGAGCACTGACCTCCCAGTTTGAGAGGGGGTAGGGGTGCGAGGCCCAGAATCGGGGCAGCCAGGGCGAGGGCTCTGGGTGGGAGACCGTGCAGGGGCGGTGCAGCTTCTTCTTCCGGGGCTCAGAGAACGAGGCTGTTTGAATTGGTGGTTTGAAGTGTTGCATCTAGGCACACATTATCAGCTCTGTTCTGTGACTTTTCTCCTTGTGGTCAGCAGGGCTGGGCCATGGCACCTTTGTGGCAGGTGTGATAGCCAGCATGCGGGAATGCCAAGGGTTTGCTCCAGATGCGGAACTTCATATTTTCAGGGTCTTTACCAATAACCAGGTAGGTGTTTTGAGGACCCCTGACGTTTAAGGAGTTGACATTGAAACATAAAAAAGTAAAATTTTGGAGAACACATTCATTGAAAAGCAGCACGCCTGCTCGATGCTGAGCTGCTTCTGGCGTCCCACACGTGCCACGCTGTCCCTCCATAGCCCCTCTGTGTGGCTTCGCCCCTTCGCCACCCCTCCGTCATCAGCCTCACTTGGACCCTGAAGACCCCATCCCAGGGCACTGCGCAGCAGGCTCCCGCGCATCTCATTCCTTCCTGTCCTCCTGGCCTGCCCCCACGTCACGGGCACATTTCTGGTGCTTTCACGCGTGAGAAGAATCTCGAGTTGGTGTGTTTGCCGCCCCTCCTGGGCTGTGACAGGCTTGAGGGCTGCTTCTGTACCACGTGGTGTCATATTGGGCAGTGTGGGATCCCGGCTCTGTTCCCTAGCTTTTTGTAACTACTCATGGAAAAGGGGAGGGTCCTGTTTATTTTTTAAATTTAATTTTTTACAGATAGTGCACAGTTCAGAAATATCCAAAGGCAACACAGGGATAATTCCCCCAACGCTGTTCCCATCCAGCAGGGGCTGACCTTACTTCCTCATGTCTCCCATGTGATAGTTGCTTAATTTCTTGTACCCCCTCCTCCTATATTTGCCTATACAAGCAAACATAAGTTTGTCTTATTTGTAAAAGCCTTTAAAAACATAATTCTTAAATTTTGCACTGATCCTGTTTCTACTGTAAGTTTAATTGTATATTTTATAAAAACGTCTGAGTGGTGTTACACAAGGCGATTCAGCTGTCAGGAAACGGGGGGGAATTGAACATCAGAGAAGTAATTCTATGAGATAACTTTTATTGGTGCCGTTTACCCATCAGTCTGTTTAGGCTGAAGGATATTAGACAAATACGGTAAACTGGGCAGAAACGTTCAACTGAAAGGGAAGTGTGTGATAAATCCTTTCAAGGAGGGGCAGTGAGGGGGTGGGGGTTTACCCCACCCCGGAGTATACTTGAGGGTGAGGCGCTGTGCGTCCGGCCTGGAGAGAGCCCCCACAGCACGGCTGTCCCTCGAGTCCAGCTGCAGGGACCGAGAATTTCTGGGTGTCTACTTTACATTTCGGAGCATTATTTCTTCCGGGTTTTCGTTTCTGAAATTTTAGTTAATATGTCATGCTGCTTAAGAGGTTATACTTTACTCTTAGAGACAGAAACTCTGTTGTAGCCCTTCGAGACTTTCACTAAAACCCCTAAAGTCGTGTTTGGCAATTAACTAGGTATCCTACACCTCCTGGTTCCTGGACGCCTTCAATTACGCCATCTTGAAGAAGATGGATGTGCTGAACCTCAGCATCGGCGGCCCCGACTTCATGGACCATCCCTTCGTTGACAAGGTTGGTCGTGTCCCCGCACGAAGGACGGTGGCGCGCCTGATGAGAGCTTCTGCTCTCCGCGCTTCATTGCTGGTGCGCTGGTGGCCTGTCGCGCACGGGGTACCCGCCCTGTCAGGACGATGGGTGAGGGCGTGAGCTTTGGCGACTTGGTTGGGAGCAGCACATCCTGCTGTGCTGGTTCCTTCTCCAAAAGGCGCGTTTCAGAACCTGCCCGGAGAGCAGGCTCTGCTCTGTGCACCGCAAGGCCCCAAATCCTGGGTTTGGTCAGCGCCAATGATGTTTGCTGGTTGGCAAACGTCCGTGCCCGTGAGGGTCTAGTGTTACCTTTTCAAGGTCACCCTTCTTTCTTTAGGAGTCTTTTTAGAAGGTGTAGTTGTTTTTGGACAGTTGTATGTGATTGAGAGTGGCACACTTCATAAATAAATGTTTGCTAATCCTGTAGGTGTGGGAATTAACGGCTAACAACGTAATCATGGTTTCTGCTATTGGCAACGACGGGCCTCTTTATGGGTGAGTATTCCCCCTAGGGATGACTTAGAGGGGTTTTTCCCCCTGAAATAACTGCAGATCGGTTGTCCGTCTGTCCCTGCGTCTGTCTCAAACTGTGTATCACGGGAACGTTCCACACACAACCAGCCAGACTATGAAATGAGCCAGTGCCCACCACCCCCGCCTCACTGGTCAGCTCAGGCCAGCCTTTTTCTGCTTAATTTTTTATGTATTACTTTTTAGTTTGCTGTAAACAGTAGTTTGGAGGCCTACAGTTTTTATTCACCGCCCCCCCTTTTTTTTCCTGAAATCATGAAAGTAAACCTGCTAGAAATAAATGGATTGCACAGTATTTATTGAGACCCACTCTGCGAGGCCTGGGCATGAGACGGTAAACGGGATGAGGTGCCTGTCGTCTTAGGAAGCACGAGGTGCAGACGCAGCAGAGCTGGTGGAGGGGGAAAGTGTGGGCCGTGTAACAGACCCAGCCGGCGTCTGCAGGGTTGACGAGTGGGGTCAGATCTGGAGGGAAGCAGAGAGAACGCAGTCACAGAAATGCTCCTTTGCGCTGGGTCGTCATGGTGAAGTAAAGCAGCCTGAGATGTGAAACATAGTCACTGCGGTATAGGCCTTGAACTCCTGTCTGGTTAGAGATCCCGATCTTCTTTCACCTACGGCTCTGATTCTTATTCCGTAGGTGACGTGTGTAAGTCATCTCTTGTGCTGAAATGCTTTTGCAGCAGGATATGTGTCATCCTCCGTTGTTGGGTGCCCAGGACCTGTGTGGTTCGGTGCTGTGACAGGGTATGAGGTAACCACAGAGGGGAAAGAAGACGCAGACCGTCCTCTCTACTGTGCAGCTCAGCGGGGAGAGACAAGCGTGTGCCTGGGCCTTCAGAGTTGCTCGCTGCATCATGCAGTGACACCCCCCAGGCATGCACGACGGGGTCTCGACTGACGGACTGACACAAGGGGCCCAGGGCACAGGGTTAGGCTGAGCTCTAGGAGATTACTGTTTGTATAGGTCAGGAGCTGTACATCCTGGCGGCTGTGGTTCCAGCCTGATCGTTGAAGCGATCCTGTCTCCTTGTAAGGGGCCCACGGTTCTGGGTTTGCTATGTTGCCAGTCGTGTGTGCTGTGACGTGTGGGAGGCCCCAGGTGCTAAGCTGTCTCGTTGCCCCTTTCATGTGTTTCTCCCCTTGGCCACTTCTCCTTCTGGTCCCCCCTCAGTCCGGAGTCCCCAGACTGTCCATCAGCTTTCCAGCCTGTCTCCCTGCCTGGATGGTGTAAGGTCACCGCTGTGGGAAGAGCGCAGGCCCTGGGGCCCTCTCATCCCCGGGCCTCAGCCTCACTGTCTGTCACAGTGGGCATGAGGCCACCCTGGGTGGCACTTGCAAGGGAGACCTTTGACAGCAGAGGGAAGGCTCTGCCAATACTGAGCCCTTGGAAGTGATAGCTGTTCCCTTTCCTTGTTTTCTGTTCTGCTCCTCAGACAGATTCTAGCAGTTTTCTTATTCCAAGAATCTGCAGTAGGTCGTCATTGCCTAATTAGACGCACATTTTTGTTTTTGGTTTTTAAGGTTCTCGCTACTCTATCCTGGAGCCAGCCAACTTTTTCTGCAAAGGGTCAGATAGTAAATAATTTAGAGTTTGCAAGCTGTGTGGTGTTTGTCGTCGGCACTCACCTGCCCTTGCAACGGGAAAGCAGCCTTGGACGTGTGTAAACGAATGGGCGTGGCTGTTCGGGAAAAGGGGATGTACGTGGACAGGTGGTGGGCCCCCTGGGGGAACTGTAGCCTGCACGTGCTGGCTCCGCTCAGCCCCCCACTGCCCCTTCCTCAGACCCAGTCCCCTCCTGGGTCTCCCTGCGGTAACCCTCTTTATCTCCGTCCCCATCACCTGTTCTTGCTGCTGACCCTCCTCGCTTGCCTTTCTTTCTGTACACACCCCCCTCACCAGCTCTTCCACGCGGCATTCTGACCACTCTCCCCACGCTGGTCACTCTTCTGAAATCCTGTGACTTCTGTGGGCAGTCACACTCTTATAATCAAAGAGTTGTCCATTTTCTGTGTGTTAGAGGAGCACCCTCACGAGGGCCCTGTGTCGGGCTTAGCATCTGCTTGTGGAGCCGCATGGGGCTCGTGCTGGGAATGCCCCCCCCCCCCACCGTGATGCCTTATTGCTTGGGCTTCAGGGAGCGCAAGGCAGATGACAGGACCGTGCTCATAGAGCTGTAGTCTGTCACAGGCGTTGTGCTCCCACTCCTCTGAAGTAATGCTCACATCCACACGATGCCCCGCCTGCGAGCCCCTCTCAGGGTCCTGCGCCCTTGGCACACTTGGACTTCGTTTTTAGCACAAGCCAATAAAAAAATCAGGGGCGCCTGGGTGGCTCAGTCAGTTGAGCGTCTGCCTTCAGCTCAGGTCATGATCCTAGGGTCCTGGGATCAAGCCCTGCATCAGGCTCCCTGCTCTGCAGGGAGCCTGCTCCTCCCTCTCCCACTCCCTTTGCTTGTGTTCTCTCTTTCTGTCAAATAAATAAAATCTTAAAAAAAAAAAAAAATCAGTGTTGGTGCCTCTGAACAACCACCTGGTAGCGTGTCAGTGGCCAGTGAGCTAAGAAGGCAGTGCTGGGATTGACTCGTGGTGGTTTAAAATAGTTGGTTAAAAGCACGTGCCCTAGAGTCTTGCTATAATATCCCTTAAGCCCCTGGGAAATCACTTGTGGTTGAATTGTCAGAGTTCTGGTTTTGGTGATAGAGCTGTAATAGGTGAAGTTCAGAAATGCAAATTCATGCATTGAAATTGTTTGATACTTTCCAACAGTTTGAATTCATCTTGACTTAATGTCTTGTCTTTAGAGTTAAAACCTTTGTGATTTGTTTCACTATGATTTCTCTGCAGATCTGGTGCACTTGTGGTATTGAGGAGAATTGCATGGTTTTTCTTTGTGTCTGTCTGCCCCGTGAGGAGGTCATGATGAGGGTGGAGGGGTCGTTCCTCGGTTCCCTGTGAGGCAGGGGCGCACCCTGCACGTGATCAGTTGAGAATTTTGACTTCCTGACGGTGGCAGGTGCCAGTGTGTGGCTATTGCTGCTTCCTGGAGAAGTGTGGGATCTAGTGGGGGCAGGATGCACACCTTGGGCGCTGCGTGAGCGTGACGCGAGAGCCCGTGAGTGGGCCACTGTCGTGAGCGCGCGGAGTCTCATGTCGTTCAGGGAGAGGACTCCTCCTGGCCCGGGAGCACGAGGGAGAAGTGCGTCTTGGGAAATAATGAGAAGGTGCTCCACATACAAGATAATGGCCTCAGCCCAGCGTGTAAGTAGCAGAGAGCGTGGCCTTTGACAGCCACGAGGAGTCACGCAAGAACCTCACGCCATCTTCGATTTTTCTGGAAGTATAGGCCCTTATCTGAATTACTCATTTTTTTTTTTTAAGATTTTCCTCCCCAGGCGGGAGGAACAAGCCAACTCTGTGCTCAGCGCGGAGTCTGACATGTGGCTCGATCTCGGGACCCTGCAATCATGACCCGAGCCGCAATCAAGAGTCAGACGTTTAATCAGTGGAGCCACCCAGGTGCCCCCCACATTACTCATTTAAAATACTTCTCTTCCTTTGTGTTTTTGTGCCTCAATCTAGCACTCTGAATAACCCTGCTGACCAAATGGACGTGATCGGAGTGGGTGGCATTGACTTTGAGGACAACATCGCCCGCTTCTCCTCAAGGGGAATGACTACCTGGGTAGGCTTCTCTTCACTAGCGGGATGCGCCGCACAGAACCGTGTGTGTATGAGTCTTCGGTGTGTTTATAGGTGTGCATGTGGAAAAGCAGCTGGGGGAGGTGGCCGGGGCTGTGGGTGCTTGCCTGGCCACTCGGAGGAACGATCTGGCACCTTGGATGTCTGCCGTTTCATGGTGGTTCTTAAGTGGTGCTTCCTGCTTCCCACTTCTTAACTGACTTCTGAGTAACTCACTTTTTAGGTCGGTTGGATTCATGCCCACGTTTCCTAACTGGTAGGAAGGTGAGCAGTCCTTCCTCAGTGCTGGTGAGAGGATTTTTCCTGCCTTAGAGAAGCCAGTGAGAACAGTTTACTATCATCTCTGCTGCCCTGGAAATAATTCTATTTAGCTGGACAAAATTGAAATAACTCCAGCAGGTTAATCAGCTCAGCTCCTTGGGGTTTAATGGTGCCGCTGAGTTGTCCTCCTCTACCCCCAGGACAGAGTTGGATGTGCAGGTAGCTGCTCCTGTGGGTAGGCTCGGGTACTCCAGCCTGCCTTTCCTGATGCTCTGACTCACGAGTCGTGTCCTTGGCCTTCACCAAGGCCTTGTTTCATAGCGGCATTTTGAGAAACGTTCCTGCCTGGTCTGGAAGTCATCTTTACACAGGGCCCCATGCAAATCTGGATCCAACATCTAGTTAGGTTTGAGAGCCAGGAAAGATTTTGTTCACTTCAGATTGGTGTACTTCTTTCCTACAGAATTTAAGATCTTGTTGTAATTCTCATTTTGCCTCAACTTTCAGGACATTTAAGTGAGTAACTCAGTTAAGATCTTGTTACTCGTGCAGTTACACTTACTATTCTGTTTTCTTTCCCCTCTGCTGAGAGACTGAAATAGTCGTGTCATCTTTTCCTTGTAAAGAAACTTTACTTTTTTTTTTTTTTAAAGATTTTAATTATTTATTTGAGAGAGAGAGAATGACAGATAGCACGAGAGGGAAGAGGGTCAGAGGGAGAAGCAGCTCCCTGCCGAGCAGGGAGCCCGATGCGGGACTCGATCCCGGGACTCCAGGATCATGACCTGAGCCGAAGGCAGTCGCCCAACCAACTGAGCCACCCAGGCGCCCCATTTCTTTAATTTTTAATTCTAATTTTCTGATATTTTTAATATATTTCTAATTTTTAGGTTACTTAAAGCAATTTCTAGTTTCTAGCCTTACAGAATTTAAAATATTCACTTTGAATTACTTTGTCGCATTACTATTGTACTGGTTATTATAAAGCACACCCGGAATAATTTCGTTTTCGACATTGCCATTTAAGCTTGTGTTCTAGAGCAGTGAATTTCAGCAGAACCAGTGTGTGACTAAGGTTACACCATGTGGAATTACCCCATATTCACCCCCAACTGTGTGCAGATGCATGCTGGTGCTGTGCTGTGGGGGAAACCAAGCTGCTTTCTCCGTAGGAACTCCCAGGAGGCTATGGTCGTGTGAAGCCCGATATCGTCACCTATGGCGCTGGAGTGAGGGGCTCCGGGGTGAAGGGGGGCTGTCGGGCCCTGTCGGGGACAAGCGTGGCTTCTCCGGTGGTTGCTGGGGCCGTCACCCTGCTGGTAAGGTGAGTGCCGCTCAGCAGAGAGGAGGTGGTGCTTCAGAGCAGGGGCTGAGTCTTGCTTGTCCCCAACCACCTTGAGAGTTGAGGAGCATGCCGTGAACCTGGCTCCATCTCTCTCTCTCCGTCCTCCATCCTGTTCCATGGGGGTGGGGATTCACATGCATGAACACACGGTAAATCTGACTGGAAAGCGCTGGGTGAGGGCACGGTACCTGCGCCTGTTGTCATGTCTGCTTTTGTTCCAGTTTGTTTTTACTAAATACTTTTTTTTTTTTTTAAGATTTATTTATTTATCTGAGAGAGAGAGTCGGGAGAGAGGCAGAGGGAGAGGAAGAGAAAGAATGCTAAGCAGGTTCCACACTCGGTGCAGAGCCTGACGCGGGGCTTGATCTTAGGACCCTAAGATCATGACCTGAGCCGAAATCAAGAGCTGGATGCTTAACCGACTCAGCCACCCAGGAGCCCCTTAAAGACTTACTTTTAAGAGTTGGTTAAGCGGCTGCCTTCGGCTCAGGTCATGATCTCAGGGTCCTGCATGGAGCCCCATGTTGTCGGGCTCCCTGTTCCGTGGGGAGTCTGCTTCTCCCTCTGACCCTCCCTCCCCTACTCGTGCATGCCCACATGCTCTTTATTTCTCTCTTAAATAAATACAGTTTAAAAAAAAAAAGTGATTTTAGGTTCACAGCAATATTGAGGGGAGGGTTCAGGATTCCCCAGGGACCCTGTGCTTCCATTTTTTTTTTTTTTTCCTTTTTAACAACAGTTTTGTGCTGTGGTTGTACTTTTTATGTCCAAGCAAGTGTGTGTATCAGGCAGGGAACAAAAAGATGTTTTCTCCCATTTCTTCATTTCCTTAGGGAGTGACCTTTCAGTGTGCTCTGTTAGCCAAGAGGAGCTGCGGTCAGGCAGCGGGACTGAAGTTTCTCTGTGTAATTTATCTGTTCTCTCTGTCTCATTGAGTTCCTCGTATGGTTGGAACGGAGCTTAGCGATTGGCCCTTAATTGTGCAGATAGTGAAGTTGGAAGAAAGTTCTCAAAGACAGTTGGCCAGAATTGACGCTCATGTGCTGTGACTTAGTCAGATGGGCCGTGTGCCTTATTCTCACGGTTACAGAGAGAGGTCTTTGGAGTTAGTGCTCATTTTGTATTTTCCCCCAACTCACTCTCTTTCGACTCAGATGAGGCCTTAGTTGAGCTTTTGTGTTGGGGTAGTGTAAAACTGCATAGTTGAAAGTTAATATATTCTATGTTAATTTTAAAATTAAAGTAGGGAAATGATCATAAGTATTTTTGTGTTTAAAGTTCTTTTTTAAAGCAAGTAAGTTTATGTTGATTTTAGCTTCTGAGGCCTGGAATGTCTTTTTAATTCATAATCTTTGATGAAGGTAGGTATCTATCTGTGACCTCCTCTTCCCATCCTTCCCTTAGAGTTCAGAGCCAGATTCTTGAAGATACTGACACTGGCCAGGGTGGGCTCTAGAGAAGAACCCTGTTTTCTTCCAGTTGTTTCCCTTACCCCACATTCCGTGCAGAGAGGAGGAGGGGAGGAAAGGCAGACTGTGGCGTCACCTGGTTGCACGCAGGCTTTCATACTCGGTGGAGAAGCACGTTCCACTGGGGTCTGGCTACCTTGTTGCTTATGGGAACAGAGACCCTGGCTCTTTCCCCGCCCACCATGACTGCAGACGGGGCTGAGGCTCAGTTGCACTCCTGAGCCCAGCAGACCTCTCCCCACTGGGCGAGCAGGGAGGCGAGGAGGCTTTCGTTTCCAGTACCTTCTCTAAGTACAGCTGCTTCCGGCGTCGGGGAAGCCTTTCACTTTCCTTATCTCCCTGCAGCTAATAAAAGTGCCACTGTCGGAGCTCAGAAATGTGCCTAGGGCGAGTCAGCTCGCCTCCAGCCTGGCAGCACTCCTGAGGAAGCCGGGCCTGGCCTTTGGTCTGGCCTGTCCACGCAGGGGTGGGGGCTGGTGGCTGCCGCTGAGCTTCTGGCCACTCTTTGACTCCCACTTCACCTCCTCTGACTCTCCTTACACCGGATTTCCCATCTAGACCTATTAGAAATCCCGCCCACACTTCCAAGACCAGCCGCCATCCTAGATAGGAACTGTGGAGAGTCCATTTTTCTTTTTTGCTTTCTTTTTTGTCCCCTGCATTGAGGGGGTAAAATTTACTTGTATTTATGATACGTAGACATACGGAAATGTGCGTGTTAGTGCTCGTGTTCTTAAGCATCGATTGTGCCCGTGTGCCACGGGGTTCCTGGCCGGGTAGCGCTGTGTGTTCGTTTGTCCAGGTGCATTCTGAGGCAGAGCTCGTGCCCAGGTGTGCACAGGCCTTTCCCACCTGTGAGCTCGCACACCCGGCCTCCAGAACGGCCAAGGCAGGCGGAGGCTATGGGCATCGCTCGGGTGCTGTGGCTCCTGCCCGTGCCGCTTGGAGGTCCTCCATGGGCCCCGTCTGCTCTCCGTTCCTTCTGCTGCCAGGTGCCATCACGGCTTGTCTGCTTCCTTCTGCCAACAGGCTTCCCTTCCCCTCAGGAGCCGGGCACTCTGACCCGTTCCTGCCTCCTGCAGCTTTTGTGGTCTGTTTAGCCGTGTCACTGGGAAAATACGTGGTTCTCATGAACTTAGAATAAACAGGTGGAAGCTCCCTGAGTCAGTTGGCTAAGAAGTTGTCCCGAGACAGGTGCAGAAATGACATGTTCGTTCTCAGCCCGCATGGGCTCGACCGGAGCGGCCCCCAGGAGATGTGACGCAAGATCGGAATAGGTTAGGAATAGTCCAATTTTCCTCCTCCTGCTGGGAGACAGTGAGCAAATTTATGATTTTCTCTCCAGCACAGTGCAGAAACGCGAACTGGTGAACCCGGCCAGCATGAAGCAGGCGCTCATTGCGTCTGCCCGGAGGCTTCCTGGTGTCAACATGTTTGAACAAGGCCACGGCAAGCTGGATCTCCTCAGGGCCTATCAGATCCTCAACAGCTACAAGCCACAGGCGAGGTTGGTACGCTTCCGTTAAATCGGCCTCTCTTCCTCCCTGGGCTCTGAGGGTGCTCCTCCCTGTGCACAGAATGCTGGCCTCGGGGACAGGAGCCAGGCAGTGATCGCACCACACCGTCCCTTGGGGGGGCATCATGCTGCTGCCACCGGGCGGCACCTGAACTCACGTTCTGTTATTTGTAACACGCATAGCTTAAGATACTGATTTGGTTTCTTTTAACTTTTTTTTTTAAGGGAGGTTATTTTTAAAGTGATTTTTTTTGTTGTTGTTTTAGAGAGAGCACGAGCGAGTGAGAGTGCGAGCTGGGGGAGGAGCAGAGGGGGAGGGAGGGGGACAAGCAGGCTCTGTGCTGAGTACAGAGCCCAGTCCTGGGACCCTGAGATCGTGACCTGAGCCGAAATCAAGAGTCAGTCACTTAACTGACTGAGCCACCCAGGCACTCCTCTTTTTACTTTTAAAACTTTTTTTTTTAAGATTTACTTATTTGTTTTGCGGGGAGAGAGCGAGCGAGAGAGCGCACGTGCAAGCTTGAGCAGGGGGAGAGGGACAGGGAGAGGGAGAATCCTCAAGCAGACTCCTTGCTAAGCACGGAGCCCGATGTAGGGCTCGATTCCAGGATCCTGAGATCATGACCTGAGCCAGAATCAGGAGTGGGTCACTTAACCAACTGAGCCACCCAGGCACCCAAAACTTTCTTTTTAAATAATCTTAGGTTTGCAGAAATTGGCAAAAATAGTGTAGCTGTTGTCACATACCCTTTACCCAGCTTCCCCTGATGCCAGAACCTTCGCTGACGGTACTTGAACTCCTAAAACCAGCAAAGGAGCCCTGACACTGCGCTGTGATGGATCCACAGACTTCGCTCACAGGCGCCCAGGCCCCGGTGCGATGTGTGCGTCCTGACCCTTAGGGAGTGCTGGTTACTTACTTAGTCGGTCGTAAGTAGATTGCTTCTCCGTGTGAGTTTATCTGATGCTTTCTCACGATTAGTTTGAGGTCATGTATTTTTAGTCAGAGTTGGTCTTTGCTTTTTATTTTGGGAAATTTTTATTTGAGAGAGTTATTTATTACTAGATTCACAATGAAGTTTCACAAATAGTACATGAGGACTATGTCTTAGGGAATGTGGTACAAGCCTCAAAGCCTGGAAATTAACACTGCTTCATTACTGTAGCCTCATCTTCAGACTGTAGTCAGATTTCACCCACTGTGTGTCCCATCCTTTTCCGGGTCCAGGATGCAGCCACTGTCCCACAGTACATTGGGTGGGTCCGTCTGCCCGGTCTCCTCCCGTGGGGACACTTGCTCAGTTCCTGTTCCTCTCATGGCTGGCGGTGTCCGTTGGCCTCGTGTGGTTGAGGTGGTGCGTCACTCTGTGCCCTCCAGGAGGCAGACACCAAGGTGGAGGGCATGTCCAGGAGATCAGCTGCGGGGAGGGGACTCGGGAAGGAGCCAGGAAGGATCTGAGGGCTGCCACAGCCAGGTCTCAGAGTTGTGTCCACTGATGGGAAGCTCTTGAACCAAGAGGAGCCTGTGTCTCTAGGGATGACCCTGCCCTGGTACCCCCGTGCTCAGCCTTGGAGGGGGCGGTGGAAGGGGGAGGCAGCAGCGGGCCACCTACCCTGGCACAGACACGGCAGAGGGTCCGTGGGCCGTCCTCCTGTGGCACATCCGAGCAGCAGGGCTCCTGGTTCCATAGGTGGCACCTGCCAGGTCCCTCCCCTATCCCCTGCGATTGCTAAGTGTCTCGTGTGAGTGCACTTGGAGATGATCCTGTGTCTTTTCTTTTAATTTTTTAAAAATTTTATTTATTTGAGAGAGCGAGAGAGATTGAGAGCTCGCGCACAAGCGGGGGTGTGGGGGGAGGAACAGAGGGAGCCCAACGTGGGGCTCGATCCCAGGACCCCAGGATCATGACCTGAACCGAAGGCAGATGCTGAACCGACTGAGCCACTCGGGCGCCCGAGATGATCCTGCCGCTCTCGTCCTTTGACTCACGGGTCCGGCATCCGTTACTGGTTCTTGACTGTAATAATACTGTAGAGGCCGCCCCGTGGGGATTTTCTATTTCTCCTATTCGTTCCGCTTATTGGTTGGAATTCTCTTCCCTTTTCTCTCCTGTATTTCCTTATCCACTTGTTTATATCGGTGTGGGCACAGGGATATTTATTTTACTCTGTGGATTGCAGCCCACTGATAGCATTGTTGATTTTGTTGCTCAGATTGTCCCAGATTTGGCCATTGGAGGCTCCTTCTCGTTGGCTGCTGTGTCTTTGCAGCATGCCTCCCTCGTTTTTTGAGCACTTTCTCACTGTTTGGCAGCACAGGCTGATCATACGTTTCCAGCCCCAGCCCTGGTGTTCATTCTTTCCCCACGCAGCCCCGGCCCTTCCATGGGAGGGGGCGTTTGGAGCCAAGACCCGGCAGTGGTGTGCCCCCAGCCGCTGTGCCGGTGGCTTGTAGCCCTTCAGCAGACGGCTGGGCAGTGTCCGCCTGCTCACGCCATCTGCACCTGTGTCTGTGTGTCCGTCACTGTGGATGGGAGCACAGGAGTCCATCCCTCCCCTGGTCCTGCCCAGGCCAGGGTTCTCCATCCAGTCTTCCCTTACGTGGAACGCCCTTCTCCAGCATGCCAGGCATAGGATGTTTACCTTTCTGCTCAGTCCTCACAGTCTATGCCAGGTAGTTGCAGAATTGCTGACCCCTCCCCTCGTGAAAAACAGATGTCCCGACTGGAGGGCAGGATCTGTGTCTAGTTCTTATCTTTGGGGCTTTGCAGCGTGTGGCCCTGCTGAGCCCCAGAGTTCCTCAGCTGGCTTCTTGTCTCCCGCCTCGTCGGTGGTGCTTCGTGGTGTTTCGATGCTCATTCTTAACACAGTGAGTTGGTTAGTTTGTATTTCTGTGTGGACCGCCCCCACACATCGTGGTTGATTTCTACAGGTTATGTGTTAGGTACGTGAGGCGTTGCCCTGGTTCTGTGGCGGGAGGTGCACAGGGGAGGCCCCCGCCCCCTCTGCCCCTGCTCCCGCTCCCCCGTATCTCCACCTGCCCCCATCCACCCTCTGTGGATGACAGTCTTGTTAGTTTTGGGCTTATCCTTCTTGTATTTCTTTTTGCACAAATGAGCAGATACACGTGTAAGTTCCTACATCCCTTTTCTTACGTTAAGTTTAGCATCATGGCAGATATTTTTTTTGCGTTTTGCTTTTTTCACTTAACAGTGTCCTGGAAATCACTCTGTATCAACTCACGGAGCTCTCTCTCCTTTCTTTTCACAGCGGCGTAACGTGGGTGTGCGTTGTCTGTCCAACTACGTACTCACATGTGGGCCTTTAAGTTATCTGCAGCATGTTGTAATGACAGACTGTTGCAGCGAATGTGCTGTGCTGGTGTGAATTTGCTGCATTGCTGGTGTGTCTTCAGGGGTTCCTACGGGTGGGATTGCTGGGAGGCTTAGTTAGGTCCTGCCCTGCTCCCCCGCAGAAGGCGTGGGCCTGCTTCCCAGAGTCCCCGCCACGGGATGCCCCACACCTGACTTGCGGCCAGTCTGATGGGGGACAGAGGGGCTCTCCCTGTTGCTTTTGTGTTTGTCTAGTTCTGAGTGAGGTGGGGTACTTTGTCTATGGTGAAGGGCCGTTTTTATCCCTTTCTTGTGAGGCATCTGCTTATTTCTTTTAACCGTTTTTCTTTGCAGTTTTGTTCCTCAGTTTTTAAGAATTCTTTACAGATTAGGGTCACTGACCCTTTGTCAGCGATATACACTGCAGGTCTTTCTCTCTGTGTGACAGTGTTTTGACTTGAGGTAAGGAGTTCGTTGCTGTTCAGTATGTTTTTCCAGTAGGCACATTTGTTAGGTTCTTGCTGGCGTTGCCAGTCCTGGGTTTTGAGTCACAGAAAGCTTTTCTCTGCATGAAAGTACAAGGAATTCACCCACGTTTTCTTGTAATATGTGTCTGCTTTCTTTTATATCCTTGAGTTTCTCTGATCCGTTTGGAGTTTATTCTTGTGTACAGTGTGAAACAGGGATCTAACTGTACCTTTGCCACATGGCCACCCGTCTGTGAGCTCCCTTTATAAAACGCCCATCTTTGCCCCAGTGATTTGAGGTGCCGTCATTTGAGACTCTGGGTCCAAGGTAGTCCCTGGGGATGGATGGTCACGTGCTCATTCTCTACCAGCCAGGGCCTCCAGAGTTCCAGAATCATGGAGGGAAGGAGGTGTTCCCTGCTCATCGTGCCACGCGTGAGCCGTCTGGGCAGGCTGGCCCGGTGGTCTCTCAGTGCAGGGAGTGTGGCAAAGCAGGTCCCCGGGTGCCAGCCCAGGGCGGCCCTGCAGGCAGCCCTCCCTGGCTCAGTTCCCCGTGCAGATGCTCTCCTGCAGCTGTGGCACCTCGCTGTCCTCCTCTGACGTGCTCTGCTCTGACACTGTGTTCTTTGTTTCAGTCTGAGCCCCAGCTACATCGATCTGACCGAGTGTCCTTACATGTGGCCGTACTGCTCCCAGCCCATCTACTATGGAGGGATGCCGACAATCGTCAACGTCACAATCCTCAACGGCATGGGCGTCACAGGAAGGATTGTAGACAAGGTGATGCCGCTCTCTGGCTTGTGGTGAACTTGGACGTGGCCCAGCCTTCGTGCCTAGTCTCTCTCTCCTAATGTTAAAGCAGGAGAGGTTTTCTCGTCCTGTCTCGGGTGCCAGGGTATTGGAAGCAGTAATTTGTTTTTTCCTGAGTCCTTTACGGATAAGCTGAGGATAAATTAATGGAACCAATTTGGTACTTTATTTTGGCATCTCAAATTTGGCTCCTGAATGGACTAATTATATTTGATTCTTTGTTATGTAATTTTCCCCTGTAATTAAATGCCCACCTATAATTATTGTATTATTGAGTGAGCACTAATGGGCCCTCCAGTCAAAAAGGTGTGTTCTTGATTTTAGTTTTGTTTTTATAATTTTTCTTTTACTTACTGCATAAGCATTGTCATGATAGTAAAGGATGGGGAAAGAGAGCAGAAAAATCACTTCCAGCCCCAGCACACAAGGTAACCACTGTTTTTAAAGTGTTCTTTTCCAGCCTTTATCTCAAGTATGTATTTTTGTTCTCTGTGCAGTAGGCCCAACTCTAGTCTTGTCTTTCTCGGCTCTTGTCATGTTGTTAAATGTAACTCTACGCACAGTCCCAATTGTACTTGCTAACAGCTATTCAATATCACATAGGATTGTTAAATCATAATTTACCATTTTTTTTTTTAACCGGAAACGCTTTTATTTTAGCCTTCAGGGAACAAACTTTTTGTTTTCAAGATAATCGTGATGAGCTTACAAAAATGGGCATTTACAGTGCAGCTTTATATAATCCAAACGTTAAAAACTTAAAAGAGATTTCTACTTTGTTGTCCTTATAAGACAAAACAAATCCATTCATACTCAGGCGCTTCTCCTCAGCATTGTTAGAGGATTTCCAGTGAGCAAACCCTGATCTAATTGAATAATCCTTCCTTCTGGTGGGATTTGAAACAAAGCTGTCAAATCTCAGAAACTTGCCAACAGTTTCCTTCTCACTCTTCTTCACAGTGTGAATTCTTGATGTCACATCTGTCCACACGCACACAGGCAGCAGCTGTGACCGCTTACTGTCGCGTTAGCCGCTGGGGCTATGCAGGAAGTGGCCCGCATCCCAGGCTTGGACAGCTGGGCTCTCCAGCTGTAAATGTTCACTGAGCATCTTTGCATATGTGGTTTCCTTTTCTTCTGAATTATTTAACATAAACTCCCTGGATTGGAATCCCAAGTCAGAGAGCGTGGACATTATTGTGGCCCTTGGTACATGCTACCGAACTCTCCCTGGGAGCTGTGTTCATGCACGCTGTTGCCACAGTCTGGCCAGGCTACACGGAGGGGTGCTGGCTGCGTGGCCTGCAGGGGCTGGGACGGCTTTTTTTTTTTTTAATTTCACGAGGTTGTTAAAAATCGAAATAAAATTCAAGTACTATAAAATGCAGCCTTTTAAATCAAGTGAATCAGGAATTCCTAGTATATTGACAAATAGTGATTGCAACCATCACTTCCTGTAATTCCGGAACATTCTTGTCACCCCAAAAGGAAACCCCTGTTAGCAGTCGCTCCCCATTCTCCCTCCTAGCCCTGGGCAGCTCCTGAGGTGCTTTCCGTCTCTGCATTTGCTTGTTGGGGACAGCCCATATACATGGGGTCATGCCCAGTGTGGCCCACCGTGACTGGCCTTTCACGACACACAGCGTCTTTACGGTTCATTCGTGTCGCAGCACGTTGGTGCTTCGTTCCTCTTTCAAGCTGAGGGATATTCCATTTTGTGGGTGGGCCACGTTTGTGTATTCATCAGTTGGTGGACATTTGGTTTGTATGTGGTTCATCTTAACTTTAAATTCAGAGGGGATTAAAATGTATGTCTTGCTTCTGAGCTCTTCTCCAGTTATCTGGGAGGTCGTGCGCTCTAGCTTCGTCGCCGATTGTGTGAGTTAGCTTTTCATTCCTGTGGCCTGTTTTTTCTGCTGAATTTCAGGCTTTCTCTGTCGATCTGAACGTCTCTTTGTCCTAGAGAAGTTAACCATTGCTGTGTTTCGACGCATCAGTTTCTCCCAGATTAGTGTCTTTCTCTTTGACACTAGAGGTAGTGTTATTTACTTAGTTATTTTTGGTTTTGTACAAGTTCCACACTTTCCTATGGTTGAATTTTCATCTTTTATAATTTCTCGTTTCAAAAATTAGAAACTTTTCTCTCCAGAGTAGGATAAAATCTCGATTTTATTTTCTACTAATGTTCCTTTTATGCTTGTAAGATATTTAATTTTCTCATTAGTATTGAGTTCATTTGATACATGTCATAGGAGATGGATAAAATTAACTTTTTTCTGTTGTTAACCAGTGGTCCCTGGAGCATTTATCAGCACTGTTTGTCATGCTGTATCCTACAAATATTTGTCTTCTTTTTCAGGGTTTTTTTTTTTTTTTTTTAACATGCTGACTTACTTGGGGAGAATATTGCTCTCTGGCTTGTGAGGGAAATGAGTAGTTTAGGTTGGTTTGAAATACTGGTTCATTTTGTAGGAGCGAGTCTGTGTTTCTTTCAGATGCCTCCCTGCATTCTCCCCTCTGCCCAGGCCCGAGCCCCCTCCTCTGGGCTCCTGCAGACACCTGCCTGCCTGGCCACTAGCTGCATGGTCTGACTTTGGACAATTAATCCGCACCATTTTAGTGTTTTATTCCTTTATGTTGCTGTGATTCTTGAAGCATACAAATAATTGGAATTTGTTCGCAAATTGGAGAGCTTTCATTTATTTACGTTCTCTATTAGATAAAAGTTCTTTGCCAAACCATGTGTTCCCCCCACCTTTTTTTTTTAAGCTTGGCAAAAAAGTTCTGTTTAAAATGGGAGACTGTCTGAAATAGTTGTTTCTAGACCTAGTGGGTGATGTTCCAGACTTTACCTAGTCTGCTTTGTTTAAAGGTAGTTTAAGATCCGAATATAAATTTCATTTGGTGCTGTTTAGTGGAGCAGGGGTCTGAAACCGAGTCAGGTAAGGTAGCAAATGAGCATCTCACCAGAGCTTCTGCTTATTTTTCTCCGCAGCCTGACTGGCAGCCCTACTTACCGCAGAATGGAGACAACATCGAAGTTGCTTTCTCGTACTCCTCCGTGTTATGGCCGTGGTCAGGCTACCTGGCCATCTCCATCTCTGTCACCAAGAAGGCAGCTTCCTGGGAAGGTGTCGCACAGGGGCACGTCACGGTCACCGTAGCTTCCCCAGCGGAGGTGAGAGTGCATGCACACCAGGGAGGGGCCTGCTGTCCACCTTCCACCGGCTCCTGCCAGGAAGTGGGCGCAGGCCGAGTGCCTGGGGTCTGGGGTTTGAAGCCAGTTGACGGATGTGATGAGGCTTGCAGGCCGTGGGCGGTGCTCCCCGGGCCTGCGGAGCAGCTGGAGTTCCAGAGCCCACTCAGCAGTGAATGCGCTGCCTCCCATTCTCTTGCTGAGCAACAGCAGGTAAGACTGTTTCGTGCCAGAGTTCAAGTTCAAAATGATTGCAAAAATACGCATTCTCTACAAGGGGCGGTGGGGCTAAACCTGTGTAGTCCAGGAGTTTTTAGGAACAAGGTGCCTTAAATTTTATGTCTTAAACTCATAAAGGAAAAATTTTAATGGGATGAGTTGTGACATGTGAATGTTTCTTCCTACATTTGTCGTTAGGAATGCTTGCATTCAAATGATACATGGAAGTAATTTTTTAAACCCAAAAGCCTGAAAGTTTTTTCTGAGCAGAAGGGGCAGTTTGAACGTCTTTTATTTATTTCAGTCAAAAAATGGTGCCGAACAGACTTCGACCGTGAAGCTCCCAGTTAAGGTGAAGATCATTCCTGCTCCACCACGGAGCAAGAGAGTCCTCTGGGACCAGTACCACAACCTCCGCTACCCTCCTGGCTACTTTCCCAGGGATAACCTGAGAATGAAGAACGACCCTCTGGACTGGTAAGCAGCTGCCAGCCGCCACGCTTTTACCCCCAGTCCTCCCGCGGCAGGGGGAGCCCGGCGTTTGTGACCACCGAGCTCGACCTCGATTGCTGTCTCTGCTGACTACTGTTGAGTCAGTCAGCAGACTCTGCCAGTCCTGCCTTCACAGTGTGTCCCGGGTCCTGCCGTAGCTGCCTTCCGCCGCCTTGGCTGCCCACCCCCTCCGCACCCAGGCCATTGTCCTTGCTCGCCTGGGCGGCAGCCTCCTAATCAATCTCGCTGTTCCCCCAAAGCCCATTCTCCATGCAGCAGCCTGGTAATCTTAAAAAGCAGGAATTTGAGCACACGGGGCCTAAAACTCTCCACTGGCTGCCTCTTCACATGGCAGACTCCCTGGTGTGTCCTGCTCCGCCCTGCAGACCCTGCTCCATGCCGCCCCTCAGCCAGCCCTCCTGGCTTGCCCTCCGGGGCAGCTGGCTTGGCGTCCTCTTGGCCCGGACACGAGGCTTATTGCGGCCCTCCGTAAGTACTGGAGTTTGGACTTCATGCAGGGAGTGGCGGAGAAAGGAACCTTGAAAGATGGGGGCAGGACACTTACAGGTGTGACAGGTTCTTCCTGAAGATGTCTCTGGAAGGCTCAGAGCAGAGGCGGTGGGGAGGAGTAGTGAAAAGTTGACAGGCCGAGGTAAGGGTCACGTCCTGGAGGGGCGCACGGGCTCAGCCCCGTGGGGGAGCTGGCTCTGGAGGAGTGCAGGGAGGGGGCCCCTGGCGCTGCCACGGGGTGCTTGGCTAGGGGCTTACCTAGAGGGTGCAGTGGGAAAATGAGTACGTTCGGGGGAAAAGGGATGGAAAGGTGATCCGTGTTGGTGCTGCATGGTTAACGTGATCACTGGCTGCAGTGGCTGGTCCCGCGCCTCTGTGTCCCCGTGCTGGGTCAGCCACCGCTAACGTGACGCGTCAGGGCACTGTGCAGAGCAGCTCTGTGGCCGTTCCTTCTCATCGTGGTGTCTCCTTTGAGTCCGTGCCGTAGGCGTTGATTTCCTGGTATCACTCATTTTACGTGCAAGCCTGGAGAACGTGGGTCTGGAAAGGCTGACTTTGGTGTGGCGAGCCAGACGCCCCAGGCCTGTGCTGGCAGTGAGCCGCGCTGCTTTGAGGTGGCCAGTTTCAGAAGTCAGCTGCGTGGCTAGCTAAGCCCTCATCACCCGCAGACATGGGCCACCCTAGTGCGGAGCTTACTGTCTTTCAGGAATGGTGACCATATCCACACCAACTTCAGGGACATGTACCAGCACTTGAGAAGCATGGGCTACTTCGTTGAAGTCCTTGGCTCCCCTTTCACGTGCTTTGACGCGAGTCAGTATGGTGAGTAGCCACAGGTGCTGGCCAGGTGTCCTTCCCGCCGGGTCGCGTGTGCGGGGACCATTGGAAAGATGAACGCAGCGTAAGCGAGAGGTAGCGAGGCAGCGGGCGCAGGGCCTCCCGTCCTCGGGGAGGCTGCAGCCAGGCTTGGAAGCAGAGTGACACGTGTTCCTGTCTGGCGGTGACAGTGGTAACCTTCGGGGAAGGGGACACTGGCAAACTATGGTCAAGAATATTTGTGCATTTTAAATTGTCTTTATTTTAATTAGAAGAAACTAGCGCTGCATTTTGCTTCTTCTCCAGTGAGTGACATCTGTGTGCCTGGGTGTCACACACGACAGAGCCCAGCCTTGTTAGTAGGTGACTGTGCTTTGGGACCCAGGTCCTCTGTTTTTCACCCCCTTGTAGAGGGGCACGGGGACCATGGACCAAAATATTAGAAGCTGGGACTTGAGACGTGGATGCCAGTGAAATGGTGTGTTTCTAAAGCCCCGAAGCCCGCGGTTCAGAGGCGTAGACTCACTGCCGGCACCCTGTCCCTCAGGAACTTTGCTCATGGTGGACAGCGAGGAGGAGTACTTCCCTGAGGAGGTTGCCAAGCTGAGGAGGGACGTGGACAATGGCCTGTCGCTCATTGTCTTCAGTGATTGGTACAACACATCTGTCATGAGGAAAGTCAAGTTTTACGACGAAAACACGAGGTACTCATAGGAGTTGGTATTTGATAAGAAATTTGGGTTTTTGAGAATTAAATTCTGTCTAGCAAGTACTTAAGAGGACTGGTCCGAAGTGGTCCTTCCATTGCCAGAGTCAGGTTCAGACGCTGAGCTGGAGGCGGGCTCCCTCTTCTCCAGCAGCGGTGTTGCGGGGAGTCGCTTACAGAGTGAGCGACGTGCTCCTTGATGCCAGGCTCTGTCTTCCCTTGTTGATCTTAGACACTTGAGCTGTCAGTTTCTCCCATCTCTCTGTTGTTGAATCTCTACAAATTTAAGTGGATGAAAGGAGCCGTTATTTAAAGGAACCTTCTAGAAGATAAGTTATTGATCAAGGATTCCCAGTATTTTATGAATGTATCATAATGTATTTTGAATTTTTTTCTTCCGAGTCTGTGACTTCAACTTTAAAGACTCCTTTCTCATCTCTTTTTCACGGATCCTCTCAAGGTCTAGGCTCTATAGCGGCGTATTTATGTACACATGGCGCATTGCACGAAGTGAATTTAGCTTTGATTTATTCTGCACGTTGGCTGAAGCATGTATGTTGTATTATCAAACCCAGACAGGTGACCTTAGTGTGCACAGGCTGGATTCTGGCAGGAGACATTTAGTTTTGTCATGAAAAGACTGTGTGTGTGTGTGTGTGTGTGTGTGTGTGTGTGTGTGTGTGTGTGTGTGTGTGTGTGTGTGTGTGTGTGTGTGTGTGTGTGTGTGTGTGTGTGTGTGACTGTGTGTGTGTGTGTGTGTGTGTGTGTGTGTGTGTGTGTGTGTGTGTGTGTGTGTGTGTGTGTGTGTGTGTGTGTGTGTGTGTGTGTGTGTGTGTGTGTGTGTGTGTGTGTGTGTGTGTGTGTGTGTGTGTGTGTGTGTGTGTGTGTGTGTGTGTGTGTGTGTGTGTGTGTGTGTGTGTGTGTGTGTGTGTGTGTGTGTGTGTGTGTGTGTGTGTGTGTGTGTGTGTGTGTGTGTGTGTGTGTGTGTGTGTGTGTGTGTGTGTGTGTGTGTGTGTGTGTGTGTGTGTGTGTGTGTGTGTGTGTGTGTGTGTGTGTGTGTGTGTGTGTGTGTGTGTGTGTGTGTGTGTGTGTGTGTGTGTGTGTGTGTGTGTGTGTGTGTGTGTGTGTGTGTGTGTGTGTGTGTGTGTGTGTGTGTGTGTGTGTGTGTGTGTGTGTGTGTGTGTGTGTGTGTGTGTGTGTGTGTGTGTGTGTGTGTGTGTGTGTGTGTGTGTGTGTGTGTGTGTGTGTGTGTGTGTGTGTGTGTGTGTGTGTGTGTGTGTGTGTGTGTGTGTGTGTGTGTGTGTGTGTGTGTGTGTGTGTGTGTGTGTGTGTGTGTGTGTGTGTGTGTGTGTGTGTGTGTGTGTGTGTGTGTGTGTGTGTGTGTGTGTGTGTGTGTGTGTGTGTGTGTGTGTGTGTGTGTGTGTGTGTGTGTGTGTGTGTGTGTGTGTGTGTGTGTGTGTGTGTGTGTGTGTGTGTGTGTGTGTGTGTGTGTGTGTGTGTGTGTGTGTGTGTGTGTGTGTGTGTGTGTGTGTGTGTGTGTGTGTGTGTGTGTGTGTGTGTGTGTGTGTGTGTGTGTGTGTGTGTGTGTGTGTGTGTGTGTGTGTGTGTGTGTGTGTGTGTGTGTGTGTGTGTGTGTGTGTGTGTGTGTGTGTGTGTGTGTGTGTGTGTGTGTGTGTGTGTGTGTGTGTGTGTGTGTGTGTGTGTGTGTGTGTGTGTGTGTGTGTGTGTGTGTGTGTGTGTGTGTGTGTGTGTGTGTGTGTGTGTGTGTGTGTGTGTGTGTGTGTGTGTGTGTGTGTGTGTGTGTGTGTGTGTGTGTGTGTGTGTGTGTGTGTGTGTGTGTGTGTGTGTGTGTGTGTGTGTGTGTGTGTGTGTGTGTGTGTGTGTGTGTGTGTGTGTGTGTGTGTGTGTGTGTGTGTGTGTGTGTGTGTGTGTGTGTGTGTGTGTGTGTGTGTGTGTGTGTGTGTGTGTGTGTGTGTGTGTGTGTGTGTGTGTGTGTGTGTGTGTGTGTGTGTGTGTGTGTGTGTGTGTGTGTGTGTGTGTGTGTGTGTGTGTGTGTGTGTGTGTGTGTGTGTGTGTGTGTGTGTGTGTGTGTGTGTGTGTGTGTGTGTGTGTGTGTGTGTGTGTGTGTGTGTGTGTGTGTGTGTGTGTGTGTGTGTGTGTGTGTGTGTGTGTGTGTGTGTGTGTGTGTGTGTGTGTGTGTGTGTGTGTGTGTGTGTGTGTGTGTGTGTGTGTGTGTGTGTGTGTGTGTGTGTGTGTGTGTGTGTGTGTGTGTGTGTGTGTGTGTGTGTGTGTGTGTGTGTGTGTGTGTGTGTGTGTGTGTGTGTGTGTGTGTGTGTGTGTGTGTGTGTGTGTGTGTGTGTGTGTGTGTGTGTGTGTGTGTGTGTGTGTGTGTGTGTGTGTGTGTGTGTGTGTGTGTGTGTGTGTGTGTGTGTGTGTGTGTGTGTGTGTGTGTGTGTGTGTGTGTGTGTGTGTGTGTGTGTGTGTGTGTGTGTGTGTGTGTGTGTGTGTGTGTGTGTGTGTGTGTGTGTGTGTGTGTGTGTGTGTGTGTGTGTGTGTGTGTGTGTGTGTGTGTGTGTGTGTGTGTGTGTGTGTGTGTGTGTGTGTGTGTGTGTGTGTGTGTGTGTGTGTGTGTGTGTGTGTGTGTGTGTGTGTGTGTGTGTGTGTGTGTGTGTGTGTGTGTGTGTGTGTGTGTGTGTGTGTGTGTGTGTGTGTGTGTGTGTGTGTGTGTGTGTGTGTGTGTGTGTGTGTGTGTGTGTGTGTGTGTGTGTGTGTGTGTGTGTGTGTGTGTGTGTGTGTGTGTGTGTGTGTGTGTGTGTGTGTGTGTGTGTGTGTGTGTGTGTGTGTGTGTGTGTGTGTGTGTGTGTGTGTGTGTGTGTGTGTGTGTGTGTGTGTGTGTGTGTGTGTGTGTGTGTGTGTGTGTGTGTGTGTGTGTGTGTGTGTGTGTGTGTGTGTGTGTGTGTGTGTGTGTGTGTGTGTGTGTGTGTGTGTGTGTGTGTGTGTGTGTGTGTGTGTGTGTGTGTGTGTGTGTGTGTGTGTGTGTGTGTGTGTGTGTGTGTGTGTGTGTGTGTGTGTGTGTGTGTGTGTGTGTGTGTGTGTGTGTGTGTGTGTGTGTGTGTGTGTGTGTGTGTGTGTGTGTGTGTGTGTGTGTGTGTGTGTGTGTGTGTGTGTGTGTGTGTGTGTGTGTGTGTGTGTGTGTGTGTGTGTGTGTGTGTGTGTGTGTGTGTGTGTGTGTGTGTGTGTGTGTGTGTGTGTGTGTGTGTGTGTGTGTGTGTGTGTGTGTGTGTGTGTGTGTGTGTGTGTGTGTGTGTGTGTGTGTGTGTGTGTGTGTGTGTGTGTGTGTGTGTGTGTGTGTGTGTGTGTGTGTGTGTGTGTGTGTGTGTGTGTGTGTGTGTGTGTGTGTGTGTGTGTGTGTGTGTGTGTGTGTGTGTGTGTGTGTGTGTGTGTGTGTGTGTGTGTGTGTGTGTGTGTGTGTGTGTGTGTGTGTGTGTGTGTGTGTGTGTGTGTGTGTGTGTGTGTGTGTGTGTGTGTGTGTGTGTGTGTGTGTGTGTGTGTGTGTGTGTGTGTGTGTGTGTGTGTGTGTGTGTGTGTGTGTGTGTGTGTGTGTGTGTGTGTGTGTGTGTGTGTGTGTGTGTGTGTGTGTGTGTGTGTGTGTGTGTGTGTGTGTGTGTGTGTGTGTGTGTGTGTGTGTGTGTGTGTGTGTGTGTGTGTGTGTGTGTGTGTGTGTGTGTGTGTGTGTGTGTGTGTGTGTGTGTGTGTGTGTGTGTGTGTGTGTGTGTGTGTGTGTGTGTGTGTGTGTGTGTGTGTGTGTGTGTGTGTGTGTGTGTGTGTGTGTGTGTGTGTGTGTGTGTGTGTGTGTGTGTGTGTGTGTGTGTGTGTGTGTGTGTGTGTGTGTGTGTGTGTGTGTGTGTGTGTGTGTGTGTGTGTGTGTGTGTGTGTGTGTGTGTGTGTGTGTGTGTGTGTGTGTGTGTGTGTGTGTGTGTGTGTGTGTGTGTGTGTGTGTGTGTGTGTGTGTGTGTGTGTGTGTGTGTGTGTGTGTGTGTGTGTGTGTGTGTGTGTGTGTGTGTGTGTGTGTGTGTGTGTGTGTGTGTGTGTGTGTGTGTGTGTGTGTGTGTGTGTGTGTGTGTGTGTGTGTGTGTGTGTGTGTGTGTGTGTGTGTGTGTGTGTGTGTGTGTGTGTGTGTGTGTGTGTGTGTGTGTGTGTGTGTGTGTGTGTGTGTGTGTGTGTGTGTGTGTGTGTGTGTGTGTGTGTGTGTGTGTGTGTGTGTGTGTGTGTGTGTGTGTGTGTGTGTGTGTGTGTGTGTGTGTGTGTGTGTGTGTGTGTGTGTGTGTGTGTGTGTGTGTGTGTGTGTGTGTGTGTGTGTGTGTGTGTGTGTGTGTGTGTGTGTGTGTGTGTGTGTGTGTGTGTGTGTGTGTGTGTGTGTGTGTGTGTGTGTGTGTGTGTGTGTGTGTGTGTGTGTGTGTGTGTGTGTGTGTGTGTGTGTGTGTGTGTGTGTGTGTGTGTGTGTGTGTGTGTGTGTGTGTGTGTGTGTGTGTGTGTGTGTGTGTGTGTGTGTGTGTGTGTGTGTGTGTGTGTGTGTGTGTGTGTGTGTGTGTGTGTGTGTGTGTGTGTGTGTGTGTGTGTGTGTGTGTGTGTGTGTGTGTGTGTGTGTGTGTGTGTGTGTGTGTGTGTGTGTGTGTGTGTGTGTGTGTGTGTGTGTGTGTGTGTGTGTGTGTGTGTGTGTGTGTGTGTGTGTGTGTGTGTGTGTGTGTGTGTGTGTGTGTGTGTGTGTGTGTGTGTGTGTGTGTGTGTGTGTGTGTGTGTGTGTGTGTGTGTGTGTGTGTGTGTGTGTGTGTGTGTGTGTGTGTGTGTGTGTGTGTGTGTGTGTGTGTGTGTGTGTGTGTGTGTGTGTGTGTGTGTGTGTGTGTGTGTGTGTGTGTGTGTGTGTGTGTGTGTGTGTGTGTGTGTGTGTGTGTGTGTGTGTGTGTGTGTGTGTGTGTGTGTGTGTGTGTGTGTGTGTGTGTGTGTGTGT